GCGTCTCCAGCTCAGCGCCAGATTCGCTGTTCTCTTCTTGTCCGCCTCCAGTCTGCAGAGACAACTCCAAAGAGAGCATCGACTCCCCCACACCCACAGGAGAGACCCTGATTTATCTCCTGGGTTGGGAAGGATCTTGGCAGGGCTGCTGGGACTTTCAGGAGGAGAGCAGGAAAACGATTAAGTGTCAGGGTGTTTCACTGTCTGGGGCGGCAGCAGGCCCGATTTACTGTTCCGGGAAGGACCAGATCAACGTCCATGATAAAACGAGGATTGGAGGCGACCAGAAGAAAGTGTGGAGAGAGCTTGGTGGTAGGAGACTCATAGAAAGGCTCAAAATGGGGACTTTGAGCCCCTACTTAAAAATAGGCTGAGAGCATTCCCGGCAGCCCTCTCCCTTCCCCCTATGTTCCCACTCAGCATCCCAACATCTGAGGCAAGATAAAGTCCGGAGGGCCTCTCCCTCCCCAGGGCTGCTCAGTGCAGTGTGTGGGCCTGCCCATGCCCAGGAAGCTGATGCTGACGTTCTGTAAGAAGCATTTCTTTGTGCTGATGCCATTCTAAGCACTTCTTACACATTGGCGTTTGTCGCCCCCATCAGCCCCCTCTCTAGAGGAGGGCCCATTTCCCAGGTGAGGAAGCTGAGCCTGAGAGAGGCTAAGGACCTCATTGGAGGTCAGAGAACCAGGTCTATCTGGCCCCAACGGATTCTCTGAAATGCTGCCTCAGGCTGCGTCCTGCAGTGGCAGAAATGGCACAGAGTAAGAACACGTTCCTTCGGGACAGCTGGGGTCTCCACGGGTCAGGATGAACGCCTGAGTGAGGAAAGCAGGCAGTGACCCCAGAAAGCTGGGGGTGCTGTCTTGGCCACGACTCAGCCCCTGCATGTCTCTCCAACCCTCTCCGAAGTCCATGCCCAGCCGCCATCACACCTGACCCAGAGGAAGAAGAGAAGGGCTGTCCAGCCTCACTCGCAGATGGTAACACTGAAGGACGAAGGCCAGGGCCTCACAACCGAGCTGACACCACCCCAGGTTTCTCACTCTGTGGCATGGAGAGTCCCTGCGGAAAGGAGATGTGGGAAGATGCCTGTGAGTCTTGGCATGAGAGGCGGTGCCCCTCGGACAGCCCAGGTCACGGGCAGCAGAGGCAGCAAGGGCCGGCGTGCGGCTGCAGGGATCTGGGAGCTCCTGGCCTTCTCCCTGGCCTCCACCCCCTCTGCTGCAGCTTGCCCACGATGTCAGCTGCAGCGCTGACCTGGCCAGGGGCCGCGAGTGACTCTGCTTTACCGGAGGCGCCTTCTCTAGGGGCTGGGAGGCAGCGAGGAGCCAACGGTCCTCTCCGGGACTGTATCCCCAAGCACCCGTCCCCGCCTGCCCCGGGGCCCGGAAGCTCAAAGAGCAATGCGCTGAGAGAAGCAGGACGGACTGAGCCCATGGGCCCAGGACCCTGTCTCCCCCCAGCCACTAATTGGCCACATCCCCTTCCCACATCTATATGCTCTCCATGCTCCCCCGCCCCGTGTCAGACTGTCCTGAGCAGGACCCTGAAGTCACAAAGCCTCCGGGCTAGTAGCATTGAGAGGCACTCCTAGAAAAGTCCCTGTGACCACCCAGATGTGCCTAAAAAGTCGAAGCACCAGACCCTCGGTCCCCGGAGAGGAAGACTGCATTGCTTCATTTCCGGTGGTGTCCCTACCTAGCAGAATGGAAGGGGCAACTTCCAGAGAGGGGTAGTAAGGGATGGACAAGGGGCTGCTGGGACAGGGGTGGGTGGAGGACAGTCTTCCCTGCCCTTGTCTCACCTCATCCTCCCTACTGCCCTGCCAAGTCCGTCCTCCCATCCTACTTGACAGACGGCCGCAATGGTGAGGAGGCAGCCAGAGCCAGGGCTCAGATCCACGTCATACACCTCCTGAGCTCCTTTCCCCAGACAAGACTGAGCAGAAGAAAGGATGGACAGGTCCATGCTCGGTCAGTCCACCACCGTAGCCCCCAGGACTCAGAGCTCCCACTCAGTTAATCTGGTCTTCCGTGGACAGAATGAGTTAGCAAGAAACAAAATGAACACAAAATATAGAAAACCTGGCTATAAATTAATACATGTGATTTCCTACGCTAAATATACTTACCTTTCTAGCACCCATGATAGGTTTACAAAAATAAATATTTTTGACCACAAAGAACCCACCATCATTTCCAAAATTATATTAAGTTGTATGGGCCAGGTTTTTTTATCACAATAAAGCTAGAAAAGAGTAATTAATATTTAATTTTTAAAACCTAACTGCTTAGATGTTTGATTTCAACAATTCAAAAGCCTCCTACAAAACTCTTGGATTAAAGAGAATTTGCATGCTATTTAGAAAAGACCAAGAAGCTGTTCATATAATCATATCAAAGTTTATGGTATGCAACAAAGCAGACTCAGAGGAAAATGAACAGCCTTTAGTCAATCTCATTACTGAACAAGAATAAAAATAAATAAAAAGAACTCAACTCAATCATTAGAAAAAGGAGAGAAAGTACAGCATAAGAAGTGGGAGAAGGGAAGCGCCTCCATAAGTAGCCCCTGGCTCAGCCCAGGGAGGAACGTCCAGGTCCACTTCACTTGCACGTGGACAACTTGCAAACAGCAACGTAATATGGAGGCTTGAGAATCTTTTGTAGAACATTTTATGTACAGAAACTATTGAAATAAACATTGCAGGATGCTTTCTTACAGAACTGTTTTTATGTAAAGTTGTAATCTTTGTAAAACATTAAACGGGCGCAGCACAACTTCAGAGCCAGACCAGAGGCTGTGAATGAGTGTCGTCGGCCTGACCCCCTGCGAGCAAATCCCACCAGGGACAGAAAAGCCCAATGCAGCCTCTCTCACTCTTGTTCTCACTCTTGTTGTCTCTCCATTTTTAACTGCAGTGATCAGATTCAAAAACTGAAATGACCATATATACACGGTTATATCCAAAATCATACATATACGGTCTGTTATAGCCAACTCAGATTATGTGGGAAGAGAAATTGATGATAACGATGTTAAGGTGAATTCATGAGAGTAATTAATAATGATTACATGCTAAAGTTTTATAGTATATTATATATAATATATATATGCACACACACACTGTGCGAAAAAATGCAGACACTTCTTTTTAAATTTTTATTTTAAAGATGTGGGGTACAATTCAGGGTTAGGTATACAAACAGTTGTTGTACAGGTAAGTTTGGACCTGACTTTGGTCCCCACACCACCTGGTTTGAGATCAGGTACTTTTATTGTTGAACTGTGACCCAGCCCCTCCCCCACCTGCTCTCTCCCCTGGCAGTTTTCCACTACCGTCAATCCCTTTCTTACAGTATTATGATAATTGTTCAGGGTCTGCTTAAGAGTGAAAACACATGGTACTCAGTTCTTTGTTTCTGCGATAGATCACTGGGTATTACGGACTCTAAATCCATCCAAGTTGTTGTGAAGTTCATAATTTTGTCCTTTTTTTGGTTGTATAATATTCCATTATGTATATGTACCAAACTTTTAATCCAGTCTACTTTCGATGGACAGCACGGTTGGTTCCATGTTTTTGCCACTGTGAATAATGCTGCAATCAACATGTGTACACAGGTATATTTTTGGAGAATGATTTGAGTTCCTCCCAGTAATTATACACATTTTAAGAACAGTCATCTTGGGATGAAAACTTTCCATTCTACTGTTTTAAGAATGGGTTATGTGCTTATTCAGTTAACTCCTGTCTCATGTGCTTGTTGTTTGGTAGACTTCTGTGGCGAGCATGCAAGTTGCTCCAACACCACAGCAGAAGAGGCAGGACTTGCTGCTGTGTGAGGCCTCCCGGATCTTCCCTTGTGCACATCACACACAGCGCCATGTGTCTCCAGCCTACCACGGATGTGTGCAATTGTCAGGCATGTTGAAGATCTGTTGTACATACACACCCCCATTTTCGCTGTACTTCCCCAACGTTCTCGAATTTCAGATACCACTTCAAAATGGCTTTGTGCTCCTCAAACAACGGAGCTTTGCCGTTTTTCTTTGACTGTCCTGTCTGTCCCAGGGTGTTGCTAGCATTCACTTGATTAATGCCATCTTTTGAGCAAACGTCACACTATGCACTGCTACCATAATTCAATTTGACTTCAAAAAGCCATACACAGATAACATCTCTTAAAATTTGGATACATTTTTTGGCATCCCTGGTGTGTGTGTGTGTGTGTGTGTGTGTGTGTGTGTGTGTGTGTGTGTGTGTGTACATATAAACAGAAATGCCCATGAGTTAAAAAGACCATTGATGAGAGCAGAAATTTGAATCAAGTGCCACAGAAAGTCCACAGTGAGAGATGCCACACAAGTGAGCCTGGCAGAGGACCTCAACAACTCCAGTGCCATGGCTGAAGACGGGTCCCATGATACACTCGTCCTGTCCTTGGGAATGCAGGACAAGCTGGCTCTCTGGCACCTAGGACCACAGGCTGCCTGAGTGAAACACAAGCGTCTCCTGTGTTTGTGACAGCGGCTCTTCTGCCAGAAGCCAATGAATTCCCAAGGTACAGAGGCTAGAGCTTGGGGCCCATGGGCCTCCAGAAAGCCTGCTGCTAGGGTGGACCTCAAGTGAGTGTGCATCAGAGAACGGTATCTGTGAAACTTTAGCACGACTAGAAAGATTTCACCTTCATCAAGAAACAAAGCCAAAAGAAGAAGACACGGTAAGGAAGTGAGGGAAGAGGAAGAGGAGACAAGGACAGAGAGCCAAAGGAAGAAAATAAGAAATGAAGGAAAGAAGAAAGCAACTTAACACACAGACAAATGCCCACCAGCTTTCAACTCTGACACATCTGCTCATCCAATTTCAGAATCACCCGGCGTCCCTCCCAGCACCTTCCAGGTCATTCTCATCCCGCATAATCTCCCAGGCCCAAAGCAATGATTACCCGTATGATGTATACAGTCTTGTGTTTGGTTGTAACTAACGAAGTAACTACTTTATCTGTAACAACTTTATTGAGGCATAATTTACATACAGAATTCACTTGAAACTACTTTTAAAGAATGTATAGTAAGTCATTAGGAATGGAACCAAGTGATTGGAGTTCTTTGGGATCCTGCATGTGCTGAATGGGATCTCCCCCAAGAAGTGGCTTCCAAGGACTGAACCTTCTGATCCTTCTTTAAGCAAGAGGCAAGGACATGTGAATTCTAGGAGGCAGGTGTGACTGCCTGTGCCCAGAACTCTGGACATTCCTGTAGCCTGCAGAGCCCCATTTCATCGCACAAATTATTTCTCTGAAAGCTGCTAAAAAGGATTGTGGGCTATAATTAGAATAAGGCCCTACAGGATTACAGCCACAAAGGTAATTACATAATCATTTGGAGCTGACTGGCACAGTGGAAAGACGGTTTCCTAAGGAGTGGAGTGAGGGGAAGAGCCAGGCACCTCTTGTGGAGCTGGGGATGCTAAGACCCCTTTCTCATGCCAGTTGGACCCAGAAGCAGTTGAAGACGAATCTGAAGAACTGCAGTTCCTCGCCAGGCTTCTTGGGCATCAGTCCACCACAGACTTCATGGATGATATTGAAACCGCCCAAGATGGCCCAAGCTGGACTTCTCAACCACCTCCTGTTAAACACAGGAAACAGACAGGGGGTTTGAGAGCCATCAGCTACTTCCTGTTTGTTTCATAGAAATCCCATCTGTGGCACATATGTGACTGCAAGCACAGTGCTCCAGCCACATCTAAAAGTACAGAGAATCTGTTCTTACTTTCCTGAAGCCTGTGTAGCACTCAACAGTTTGGAGTTTAGCAAGCAATGTCTAGCTGCCGATACTGAAACAATTCTGTTTCACAATGGAGATCAACATGGCAGCACGTGACCTTGGCTTCCAGAGATGTCTTGATCTCGTAACAGTTCATTCTGTCCAACAGCAGAGATCTGTTCAATGTGCTTCGTCTTCCATAACTTTTTAAGATCTCACGCACAACTGAGAAAAAAAATACCTTGTCAGTCCAAGTGTCCTAAATTTGGGTCCCCCAAAAATGGTAGCTGCATAAGTAGACCACATCTTTTGAAAGCCATGACGATAAATCGCATTAATTTAGACCCCATTAATCTGGAGTACGTACTAATCCCATAGGCCTAGGAGGAAGCTTATCTTAGAAGAAAGAGTTTGCTTTCTAAGCAAAGGAGGATGCAAACAAGCCACAGTAAGTGTAACCTACTTAGAAGCAGATGCTGTTCTTAAAGGAAAAGTTGCACAATAAGTTGTGCTGCTTGGGAGTCCTAATCTCCCAGCTCACCCTCCACCTCCGACACTGGCCAGCCACCCCCAGTGCATGGAACCAAGTCCTTCACCCGTTCCAGCCGCCGCAGCATTTCCTCTGATGCTGGAGTCAGAAGTGGGAATGCTTCGGAGGGCCACTGGTCCTGTAACCGTCTTGGGGAAACTGAGTCTGGATAGGGGATGGAAACAGCCCAGAGCTGCCCACCTGCCGGCCAGCCTGGTGATTAGAACTCCAGCGTTGCCTCCCCCAGATTGAAGTTCTATTCTCAGCTCTGCCCCTTACTGGGAGAACATGGACACGGGACTTGACCTCATTAAGTCTCCATGTGTTCATCCATGTCATGCAGATGAGGGCAGAGCCTCCCCACCCACTGAGGTCCAGATAAAACTGGCCCAAGCTCCAACTCTGTACGTCCTATCAATGCCCGGCCCAAGATCTCTGTAAACCCTGGAGATCGTCTCTGCCCCAGAGTCCCGCTTCCCTGCACAGTTTCTGTTCCTCGCTGCACTGACTCACATGAGATCCCCAGCCCCACCCTCAGCTTGCACACACTCCTTTATGAGTGTGGTTGACTTTGCCGCAGGGAGGTGTCTCAGGTCGTGTCCCGAGCAGCACCGGAGAGGGCCTGGCTTCTGCACTCCCTTGTCAGTCAGTCATGGGCTGTGGGGATGTCATTAGTTCAAGGCAATGTCCCAGAAAAGGGGGCAGCAGCCCACACTCACAGCAGCCATGGGGTGGGGGCAGCAGCCCACACTCACAGCAGCCATGGGGTGGGAGCAGCAGCCCAGGAACCACAAGTCGCCCGGGCACCACCAGGACCCACGGCAAGAGAGGAGGCGGGGGTGGTGCTCTGCAGCTCTCACTGCAAAAACACAGCTTCATGCCTTGCCTCAGGCAGTGCTGCTCCTCAAACAGCCTTGGCCACACCCCGGGGTGCCCCCACCCATATCAAGGCTATCTTGACCCTTTCTCTCTTTCCTTGTGTTCTCTGCTCCTCTTTCTCCATTCTCTCCCTCCCTCTGGGGAACAAAAATCATCATCATCATCTCATTTTCTTCTGCAGAACAGTTATTCATTCCTTTATGCCTCTGTTGCCTGAGCTTCTGCCAACACCCTCTGTACATGGTGACCAGCAACCCAGTTTGCCGGTTTTAGCACGGAGAGTCCTACATCTCAGGAAAACCTCAGTCCCAAGTAAATGGGAACAGTTGGTCACTCTCGCAACTGTTCTTCCAGCCACCGAGACCATCGAGGCTCCCTCCCAAATGGACAGTGCGTAGGAATCGGCTAAAATGGCTAATCATCTTTTCTTTTTAATCATGAATGGGTGTTAAATTGCATCAAATGCTGCTTCAGTCTCCATTAAGAGACTCACACGGTCTAATCTACCAATAGAGTAAATTACATGAGTATATTTTCTAATGTTGAGTCATCTTTTGTTGCTAGAATAAGCCACATTTGAACATGCTGTGATTTTTGGATCTCTTACTTGATTTGATATACTAATATTTTATCAGTAACCTCTGTTCCTAAATGAATTTCATTCACAGCTTTCGTTTGCTTCTTTGGTCTGATGTTGGTGCCTGGAATAGACTCGCCTTTTAAAATGAGTGTGAGAACATTTCCACTTTTTTCACACCTATTTCCTTCCTGCCTAGCCAAGGATATGAGGGGGAAAGCAAAGAAGAAAGGAATCCAAAGACATAACACAGGAAGTTAACCTCAAGGTGAAGGACTTCATGTTTATATCCAGATGACACAGTGTGTTCACGGAAAACTTACCCAAAATGACAGGCATCAAGAAATATAATGGTTAGATAAAGAAAATAATTCCTCATGCAGTTACAGAGGGGAAAGAAGCATTTTCAAGGGAAGGGAGGACTCATGAAATCATGCTGGATTCAGACTCTTCCTCAGCAGAGGAATCCAGAGGATTACGGAACAATGACTACAACAGCAGTGAAATAACCAGAAATACCATGACCATTTGGTTTGTCATTCGAGCAAAAAAGCAACAGGAAAACCCTCTCCAAGAACATGAAAGAACTCAGGGAACACAGCAGCCATGAACATGCTTTTAAAATCCCATCGACAGTTAAGCCCAGGCCAGGTTATCAAAAGGAAAAGGAAATCGGAGAAGCCACAGTATTAGGAGGAAAGACAGAGATGTGGGATGTAGGGGAGGGGCAGAAGCTGGGGGGCAGGGGGGGAGAGGAGGAACCAGAGGGGAGGAGATTCTCAACTGTGGTCAAAGCCTCTCTCCTGCAGTTACAAGGAAACCCATACAGGTTTCAAGTCGTCCTTAAGATACAAGACTCAAGAGGCAGGTGTTCTCCAGCACGAAGAACTCAGGCAACACAGCACCCATGATGTTAAAAAAAAAAAAAAAAAACTCACAGTAGAACAGAGAGCATCCACACAGAAGGAAAAAGTCTTGAAATGGAAAAGTCATGAAACATGATAAGAATTAAACACAAGCCGGGCTCGGTGGCTCAGCCTGTAATCCTGCGCCTTTGGGAGGCAGAGGTAAGTGGATGGCCTGAGCCCGCGGGTTCGAGACCCGCCTGGGCAGCGAGACCTCATCTCTACAATAAATAAATAAATAAACCAGCCGGGCGTGGTAGCACACGCCTGTAGTTCCGGCTACTCGGAAGGCTGAGGCGGAAGGATCGCCGGAGCCCAGCGGGTCGAGGCTGCGGTGGCCGGGAGTGGCCCCTGCCCTCCAGTCTGGGCGACGGAGTGAGACTCCAACTCAAAAAAAAAAAAAAGAATTAAATACAACAAAATATGGAATTAAAAGAAACTCAGTAGAAAAGAATTCAAATAAGCCTATACGTGTAGATGAGGTAAAAGACTAGCGAACGAAAGCTGGTGGGAAGCCTTCACCCGAACACCGCTCGTGTCCTCAGCTTTACCGGCACAGAGCCCGCTGAACACATCCAGGACAGAAACAACCTTAAAGCAAAATGACACCTCCTCATGTTGTTTTTCATCCCTTTTTCCCTTAATCCTAGGGACCCTTTAAGCACAAGGGATTTTGAGGTGAAGAAACGTTGTTCTGGAGTTCAGTCATTGTTTCAAGTTTCACCTTAGGTTCTTCGCTGCTGCCATTAAATTCAAGCAAAATTCACCTATTTTATTTTAAAAGGACTTGTGCAGAATAACCCCGTTTTATCAGACTGCTTCTAGGTCAGACATCTGTATATATTCCTAGAGAGACACCTGGAACATCCACCACCCAATTTTAACAATTATTTCTGGATGGTGAGATGTCAGATTGCATATAAATAAACTCTTCCTTTTATTTCTGTTTCTCTCTTGCACTTGAATTGTATATGAGCATGCATTCTTTTTATAAAATCAATAAAGTCATTATTCTTTAGGAAAGGAAGAGAGAAAGAGAAAGAGGGAGAGAGGGAGCCCTGAGGTTCTCGGTGTGGTGAACTCTCAACAGCAATGGCAAAATTAAAATGGGCACATGGTACCAGACGCGATGTCAGAGGCTGCTACCCGTGCTTGATCTCCCCAGGTACGCCCACCATGTCAGAGGCCCTTCTGCTGCTTGCAGATGTGGGGACAAGCATGGGAGTTCAGAACTTGCCTAGAGGCCCCCAGCTAGCATGTGAGGCAGAGCTAGGACTGGAGCCCTGGCCGGTCTCAACTACAGTCTTGCCCCAGCTGTTACACCCTTGCTTGTCCTTCCCTGCAAAACCGAGTCTTTGCTGCAGGTCCAGTTCTGTGTCCTCAGACAGAACGGAGAAGCAGGGCTGCCCGGGTCCCAGCAGCTTGCTGCTTCTCAGGAGGCACTAACAGAGGCGGCACATCCAGGATAAGGGAGGGGAGGGACAGTGAGGCAAGGCTTGGGGCAGGGGTTCCATCCTGCCCTCCTGCTGAAGGCGGGGCACAGATAGGCTGGGGCCTTCCTGAGGAGGGGGGGCAGGACTAGAGGGTCCAGAGTGGAGCAAATGAGAGCAGCAAGCAGAGGGGCAGGACACAACCTGGAAAAGAGGCAGCTTGGAGCACAGTCACCATCTTCTAGCACCAGGGTGTCTCAGAGAGAGGAACCCAGTGAAAGGAGCTGATGCCGGGCGGCGCCAGACAGGACACAGCACAGCAAGGAGGGCCTGGAGAGTGTCCACTCGCTCGAGTGTCCAGGGAGGGCCTGGAGGTTTCAGCCAAGGAGACTGTGGAGAGGATTCCTGCCAGATGGGAGGGTGGGCTCCATTACCCTTGCAGAGGACATGAGCTCTTTCTGCGGCTCAGAACCATCACATCTAAAACAGCGCCTTAAGATTCCTTAGGGTCGGCATGCTTCCCTACAAGTTCCTGTAGTTTTGAGATGAGCATGGCCCAAAGCTGGCCAGCTAGGCTTTCCCAGTCCCCTGGCCACGATAGGGGGTTCCGGTTCCAAAACATAATGTAAGTTGATTGATAGCATCACTCTTAAGACTTCGGCTGGAACCACTAGGGAAGGGAGTTCTCTTTCTGCAAGGCCGCCTTGCTTCATATTTGCATGGCAAGGAAAGCCACTTGGGTGCTCAAGGTCAAATAAGTCCAAGTGACTTTCCATGCTAGCTTTTTCCTGAAAAAGTAGTGAAGTCATGCATCCAAG